GCCAAGGAGGATGGATGCCGCCATGTCATAATCTATAAGGAAGAGGACTTTGTCACTCGTGTGAAAGAAATAACTTTCGACAATGGCGTTGATGTTGTCTATGATGGCGTAGGGAAGGATACGTTTGAGGTATAAGTTTTACTTTTCTTATAATCTCCATAAGTGTGTCATGATTTACTCAAATGTTGTTGCATATATATGCTTGACCAACTCCAAAATCAATGCAAATGACTTCTAACTCAGTTGGTTAAGGGCATTCGACATTATCTTATACATAACATTTATTTTGGACTACGAATTCTTACCAATAGATATCGTTTTCAAGGATCGCTGGCAATGTTGAAGACTCGTGGGCACATGTTGAGTTTTGGGTAGTCATCAGGCGAGCTAGATCCGGTTCCCTTACAAGTGAATTCAACGCGCCATTTCTAATAATTCGCTTAATTAAGATTCCAATACTCTATTGAAAGAATTTAAGCTGGGTTTGTAAAGACTGATTGCATAAGCTCAACTCAATTGATGATGAGTGATGTTTTGACTTCATTATATAGAGATTACAAGGAAAGTCTGTTACAGTATAAACGTATAACGGATTACAAATGAATTCAAATTACAAATATAAACTGATAGAGTCTAAGAAGAGAAAAGAATGCGTTGGTTCTCTATCTGGTGAAGAGTCCTTGAGTTATCCAAACTGTGACTTTGAGATAGGAATGCATATATTGGCAGACCTGATTGACAGCGAAAACAATATCAGGTCTCGTGAAAAGAAGATATTGGAGAGCACCGACTATACTTCAAAAATTAGTGCCATCTGACAAAGGTTCTTCGTCATATATACTTAACTTACAACCAGTTGCAGCGGGAGTGGTGAGAGGATTTTCATCAAACATTTTGGTCTTCTTTAGAAGGTCCATGATGTACTTGGATTGAGACAGATACATGGCAGTGGATGTCCGTGTAATTTCCATCCCAAAAAATAATGCAAAGGACCTAGATCCTCTATAGAAAACTTTTGACCAAGCTGTTGAATGAACCGAGATATATGTGATCGATTATTGCTCGTAACTAGGATGTAGTCGACATATATCAACAAGTAGATAACTGTGGATCCATTAAAGAAAGTGAATAGCGAAGAATCTGCTACTGAGGCCTGAAACCCAAGTTCTTCAAGATGTTGGGAGAAATATTGAAACCAAGCACGAGGTGCTTGTTTCAAACCATATAATGATTTTTGCAGTCTACAAACATGTGATGGAAACTGAGGATCCACAAAACCTGAAGGTTGTCACGTATAAACTTCTTCTGCCAATGAACCATGTAAGAAAGCATTATGAACATCAAGTTGTCGGAAAGGCCAATTGTAGTGAAGTGCAATGGAGAAAATGAGTCTGATTGTTGCATGAGTGACAACCGGTCTGAACGACTTGTTGTAATCTATACCTTCTTTCTAGTGAAAGCCATTTACGACTAGTCGAGGATTATATCGCTGTATGGAACCATCAAAATGCCGTTTGATCCGATATACCATTTATTTGGAAGAACATTCATGGATAGAAGAAATGGAACCAAGGACCATGTGCCAGTATGCAAAAGAGCATTAAACTCTTCTGCCATTGCCTGTCGCCATTCAGGATATTTGTTAGCCTATGTAAAACATGTAGGCTCAACCACAGCATTAGGGGCAGCAAACTAAATGAGATGAGGTTTCACTAATGCTGGAGACTCATGTAGAGTACTGGAGTTGGATTCTGCGGAACTTTCTATTCTTCCTTCACTGTTGTTGTAGCACACACGATGCATTCATCCACACGCAGAGACGATGTATCGTCCCTATACTTCTGGCATTTCTTTTTTCTTCTTTCATGGCGTAAAACTTTGTTTCCGGGTCTTTTGTACATGCAATATATGCCCTTATTAAGTTCTTTTCAGAGATTTAAATAGACCCCTGTTCTTAACCATTATGCTTAGGATGTCAAGCAACTACAGATCGATACATGTCAAGTCGATTTTATTTATTCTAGGAACAAAGTTGCTTCATAATGTATCATGTTTCAAGTTTGTAAACTTTTCGTATATTGGCATCAATACGAATGCTTTGTGACAAAGAGTGCCTCTAAATAACATAGGAACATGCTAACTCCGTCGTCACCATTTTGGTTGCTTCATGAGCATTTCAAAGCTGCATAGCAATTGGATTTTCTCGTAAAAGAGCGAGAAGTGTCATGTGAATTAGTACGAAGAAGAGAGAGAGAGAGAGAGAGAGAGAGAGAGAGAGAGAGAGAGAGAGAGAGAGAGAGAAGTACTACGAAGAAGGGGAGAGAGAAGAGAGAGAACAAAAGAAAGATCCAGAGGTAAAATTGTAAATTAAAAATAATTAAAAATACAACCACGAAACAATATGAATAATGTGAGTTTGCTAATAATTAATTATCCCTAAACCATTTTCACACATTTCTCTTGTTATTCAATTTACTTTTGCTGAATTAAGAGTTACTTGTTCAGAAAACAAGTCTTTTAATTTTATATGGGATATTTTTTTCTATTTTTTTTTTAAGAAAACCTCGACGATACGAGCGATATTTTATTGATAACGAAAAAAATAAGTTACGCTTGGTCAGGGGAGAACATAAGCCTTACCTCTCGTAATGCCAAGAAAAGGAGAAAAACAATATTGAGTAAGAAGGGGGGATATGAACCTTACCCCTCTAGAAACGAAAACAAAAATGATATAAGGGAGGGGGGACATGAAACCTAACCCCTCTAAAGCCAAACCTGAAAGAAAAATACAATGAAACAAGAGGACGAAATTTGACAAAATCATACAACACAACCATACTGGTCACAACAAGGAAAATGCCAACAAACTTACGCAAAGTACAAAACAAAGCTAAACATATTCAACAATTACATGATACATTTTAAGCACTATCCTATTCAGCAACTGTGAAAGAAGGACGCTCCATGGCATGTTTACCAGCAAAGAACCAAGCACAATCCAAAACCCCGTGAAGAATCCAACTCCTAAGCTCACGTAGAACCACCCATCTTCTAGTAAACGGTATCCACCTCCTCCGTCTTGCTCAACTGTTCCTGGCGGTATCACCATCAAGTTGGCCGTCAAATTCGTGCTGCAATTCTTGTTGACAATTCTGAGTCACTTAAACTTGGCCGTCAAATTGTTGTAGGCCAAGTTTAAGTGACTCAGAAATGTCAAATTCGTCATGCTTGGAGGAATTTCACCATCAAGTTGGTTCATGGAAAAATCGAGAGATTCTAACTGTGCCATATTACCAATCTTTGAAGGAATTCTTCCGGTGAAGCGATTATTCGATAAATTGAGTGACTGCAATGCGAGGAGGCCAGTAAGTTCTTCAGGGATCTCTCCATACATAAAGTTGCATGAAAGGTCCATGCCTTTTACGAATCCCAGAATCTTGGTATATTCCATTTCTATCCCTTTCGTTACCAAATGATTCTGATAAAATAGCCAAGGCGCTCAAATTGTGGAAGCATCTCGGTATCATTCCTGAGAGTTTGTTATGTGCAAGGTCCAATATCTGGAGACTTTTCAAATAACAAACTTCATTAGGAATATCTTCTTCAAACTTATTTGAACGAAGGTTAAGAACATGCAACCATGAAAGGCTTTTCCCTATCCATATTGGTATGCTTCCGGAAAACCCATTTTCACTAAGGTCAACAACTGACAACCAGGTACAGTTCTGCAGGGAATGTGGCAATTCTCCGTACAGGTGATTATTGCACAAGTGCAGTGATTCCAGCCTTCGTAAATATCCCATGGACATAACGATTTGATAAGATAACACTTAAACTGTGCAAGATCTTGCCATTGCACCAGCATGGTAGCAAAGCGTAAATTATTTTTGTGTATACCCTAAGCTCTGATAGTAGCATGGTGGCCCTGAGGTCTCTCTCTCTCTCTCTCTCTCTCTCTCTCTCTCTCTCTCTCTCTACATATATTGTTTACGAATTGGAATTCTGGGTTGTGCTTTGATTTGTATGAGAAAAACAGAATCAGCCCAATTTAATTAAGAAGCCTCTGAGTTGTTTTTATTGTTTGTCATTTTGACTCGTTGAATTTGAGAATTGCTTCTAATCTGTGCTATGATAATTTATTTGGAAGTGAGCATGCTTGTTGATAGATGATAAGCTTCAATTTATATTGTCTGGTAGAGAGTTTATAGTGCCATATCAAGTGCTTTTCTTATATAATCGTTCACATAAGCCGGCAATTGGACCTGAAAACGATTTATACTCCTTTGATGCTGATCATTCGATATCCATTTCGTTAAAGTTTTGCTTTGGTTATTAGTTTATGCCAATAATTCCCAATCGTTTTTCTTACTTTTGCAATGTGATCATGTTAGGTGTTGAAATGGGAAGATGTGGAAGTAGGGGAGCCAAAGGATGGCGAGATTCGTGTCAAGAATGAGGCCATTGGGATTAATTTCATTGATGTGTACTACCGCAAGGGCCTTTATAAGGCTGCTACGCTTCCCTACACCCCAGGTTTTGCTTCATTTCAACAAGTTCACTTATTGAATAAAAATTCATTTTTTGAGATTATGGAGATACATTTCAACGTTCTATTAAAAATTTTGGGTTTCTTGACAGTTTTTGTGTAAACTGTAAACCTCTCCTGTGAGTATAAATTTCGAGGAATGATTTGGATGAATTAAAACAAGAGTGCAGAGCATGAAATCAGATAACAGTTACCGCCAATAGTTGAATAAAATTCATTTTTGAGATTATGGAGATGCATTTCAACCAAGATTATCTTGTATCCAAATTTTATTAAAAATTTTGGGTAACCTCTCCGGTGAGTATAAATTTCGACAAATGGTTGGGAATGATTGGGATGAACTTAAAAACAAGAATGCAGAGCATGAAATCAGATAACAGTTCCCACCGATATTTTTATTGTGTATATATACATCTCAAACTTTATCGGGCACTGGATGTAGTTACTAGTTACCCTATTTATGTATAAACCAAAACTGATTTCAGGTGTCGAGGCTTGTGGAATCGTGACAGCTGTGGGACCAGGTCTAACCGGCAGGCAAGTTGGAGATCTTGTAGCCTATGCTGGTCAGCAAATGGGCTCATATGCAGAAGAGCAGATCCTTCCTGCAAACAGAGCTGTGCCTGTTCCTCCTTCCATTGATCCTAAAGTTGCAGCCTCCCTCATGCTTAAGGGTACAACAGCTCAGTTTCTACTACGCCGCTGTTTCAAGGTAGTTTTACACATGTACCCGCATCTGCTTTTTTTAATCTCTCTTGAAAATAAATGTGGAATTGCAGAATGTTTTTGTGGAGCTCTTTGTTTCATACACACACTGTTCCTGTCAAGGTGAATATTTGTTACTAATAATACTGGTCAGTGCCAGCAAATGTAAATCAGTAAATGAAATTGAGTGTACCTTTAAATATCTGATACAAGGAAAACTGCCATTCCTTCTCTTTCACTTTTTCATTTGTGGTACGCTTCTTGTTTCCGTTATGATGTACAGTCTGCGGAAATAAGAAAAGCATCACAGCTAAGTGTGAAAAGTGAAGTGCTTTGTTAATCTCAAAATATCTTCATTCTACAATTGCATGCCTAATGATGGCCATCGTTTTTCCTAATGTCATGAATGTTTTGAAAAATTGAAACCTTTGTTGCTTTTGTTATTAGATCTGACTCGACCTTTGTTATACAGGTCGAACCTGGACACACAGTCCTTGTTCATGCAGCAGTTGGTGGAGTTGGATCCCTTTTATGCCAGTGGGCTAATGCCCTTGGTGCGACTGTCATTGGGACTGTATCAACTAAAGAAAAGGCAGCTCAGGCCAAGGAGGATGGATGCCACCACGTCATAATATATAAGGAAGAGGACTTTGTCACTCGTGTGAAAGAAATAACATCCAACAATGGGGTTGAAGTTGTCTACGATTCTGTAGGGAAGGATACGTTTGAGGTAAGTTATACTTGTCTTATATTCATAAGCGTGTCATGATTTATCCAAACTACTCAACTCCAACATTGACATCATCTAATAGATAAGTAATGTTTTCGACTATGAATTCTTATCGGGAGGTATTGTTTTCAGGGATCACTGGAAGTCTTAAAACTTCGGGGATACATGGTGAGTTTTGGGCAGTCATCAGGTGCGCCTGATCCAGTTCCGTTATCAGCTATTGCAGCGAAATCACTTTTCTTGACTCGGCCTAGCCTCTTTGATAGGAGCATATTCATGCGACTTAAATGGCTTGTTCTCGTGCATTTACGTTATGTTTCTCTAGTTATTTTAGTCCTTTATGCTTCTTTTGTGTGTTTTCAGGTTCTAAGGGCTTAGGGAGCAAGAAAGTGCATTTTGAGGCTATTTGGAGCATTTTTGGGCATGGATTGGATAGCTTATCCATGGAGCCAAGAGGATGGACGAATTTGAAGGCCTTGTATGCTCTTTGGGACATAAAACAAAGGGCCTAGCCCAATCAAACAAACCTTTGAGCCATGCAAAACCTCTAGCCCAATCAAACAATGCATCACAAACCCAAAACCATCAAGAAACCATCCTTTGCCGTGCCTTCCACATCAATTCCAGCTTGTCTTCATCATTGCAGCCGCTTTGCCCTTTTATTTATGCATTAAACCTATTTCCTTTCCCTAAATTGCAGCCACAATCCACACCTTTCCAACCTAGCTGCACCCTACATACATTAATTAGTCATTCTTTTCATATTGCACTCACATGCATTCACATGCATTTCAAGAACCAAAACAACATTGTGCCGTGCCTTCCCTTGCCATTTTCAGCCATCACACTTCATCATTACACCACCATTCATTCATTAATCCACATGCACATTCAATCATTCACTCAAGCACCCTTGTGCCTTGTTTCCCCCTTTGTTCCCACCAAACACATGCATTCATCAACATATCTAGTTGTCACTCATGCATTTCCTTCATCATTTCCAACCCACATGCAGCCACATATTCATTCACTTCAACATTAAGCCACACATACACACACATGCACCCAAAACACATCCATGCCGTGCATCCCTTTGCTTTCCAGCTCACTTATGCATTTCCAGCTTTCACATGCAATTACACACACCATTCACCCCTTTTCTATCCCTTGTGCCGTGCATCCTCTCACCAAGAAATCAAACAAACCACATGCATTACACCCCACATGCACTTTAATCATTCAACCATGCAGCCACACATTCATTCTCCAACATTGAGCCGTGCAAAACAACCCATTCCAGCAACCAAATCCCTTTGTGCTGTGGGTTCCTAGAATTTCCAGCTTTTCCCTTTACATTTCACATGCATTCCATACTTTCCTAGCTGTTTTTCACATGCATTGCAGCCACATTCTCACCCATTCTCTCCCTATATAAACCACACACACTTCATTCATTTGCATCATTCAATTCACATCTCATTTTCATACACAACACACCACAAACACATCCATTCTTCCCTAGCCGTGAGTCCCACTTCCATTTCCTGCATCTTCACTTCCATTTCCCATCACTTCCCATCCCTCTAAAACACTATCCAACAATCAACATATCCTTAGACCTTGTGCCACAACGAAGAGGAGGAGAAGAATGCCTAAACGTTCATACAATTCAAGTTTGAGTTGTTGGAATTTTTAGGTGTTGCTTTTCCTCGATTGCAATGTTTAATTTCAATTCTCTTTGTCTTGTACGTATGAGGAACTAAACCCCCCTTAGCTAGGGGGGATTCGAAATATATGTTTACGCTTGCAATATGATTTGATTACTTCTAATTACGTTTCATAAGTTGTGAATTCAATTTGTTTAACTATTTGATTGATAACCTATTTATGTATGTTTATTGAGAGTGCACGCTTAATTTTCATGCATGAATTTGACGCTAGAATATAAGTGAGTTTCACGTAATAGTTATGAACTTATATTCACAAGTAGTGGAGGTTGTTGGAAATGTGCCCTAAAACCAATCATATGATGATACTTTATGGACATTTCACATGTTAAACTAATCTAGTTTAATATTAAGGGCAAACATTATTGTTTGAGCCGTCTCATATAAATGTTATATGCTTAAACGATAAGTCCAAGGAATATGTGATTGGAAGAATGCGATCTAAAGAAGTTAGATTCATGAGACCATTCTTTCGTTGACACATCTTAAACGTTCCTGATCATAGGATTGTCAATTGGGCATTGACAGTCCGTTAAGATCAGTAGGTGCTATGTCTTCTCTCAGGGAGAGTGACTAGTCTCGAGTCATTGGTGTGTGTGACATCAAGACAAGTACGTAGGTGCTCAATAGAGAATAAGTTCACTGAACACGATCAACGAAGAGTTCTCATATTCATGTCACATGAGAACTCATGGTTGGGATAATGCAAATTAGTCTTTTGACCTGAGGCATCACAGTTGTCTTGTGGTTAGGTCATTAATCTTTGATTATGTCAAAGTCACTCCATCATGAGGGTGTCCGTGGCATCGTTGGGGTTAAGCCACTTAGCCATGGAGGCAAGTGAATGCGCAACAAAGGATCTCTAACCTTCAAACTGTTTGAGGGAGAATACTCTATGATATGATTTTGAATCTTTGGCCAAAGTATGAATGAGATTTAGGAATGTGTTCCAAATCACGTTCAAGGTAATCATATAAGCACAAGACTCACATTGGATAGTAGACATGAATAAACTATCAAACCAAACAATGTGGTCGAGAGTATTGTATTAGAGAAAGACCGTATTGCATTTGTAATCCTAAGACTGAATAGGTTCTCCACCTCTTTTGATTAGCTTGGGTAACCATGACATGCTGCTAGGCGTCAACCATGGTTTGTGGAAGCCCTAAAAGTGTATTATCACTAACGGGAGAATTGAAAGTAAGTTTCAATTCACAATCGATTTGAAAGAGTTTGAATCGCCCACTGCCTCGCTAAAAGGAACCTAATGGATCGTACACCGTGTAAGGTAGAGATTGAAGATTCAACGGAGATGAGTAAGAATAATTAAATGGTTTAATTATTTATGGCAAGGATTAATTAATATGATTATTAATCAAACGAATAAGTTCGTTAAAAGACCTCGGGATAGTTTTGGACCTTAAGGCCCAATAGGCTTCGAACGTCAAGTCCATTGACTTAAGTTGTATGACAACTTAATGAATAATGATTCACAAAGGCCCAAATAGCCCAATAAATCCCTAAGGCCAGCCATGTTAGAGAAGGAGTGGTTTTGGACTTATTTACAAGTTTGCCACTCAAATGAATTAAGGAATAAGTATGACTTAATAGCCGAAATTCATTAAGGGTAAATTTTGGGGAAAGGATGAGAACACAAGCTCTCTTTTCTCTCTAAAAATTTCGGCCATCCTTGAGGAAAACATCTAGCAATCTTACTTCCTCAAGGTCACTCATTTCTTCTTCAATCTTACCTTGGTGTGGAGACTTAGAGGTTCTCAATTTTGGGAACTTGGAGAAACCTTTTCATCCATCCAAATCCATGGATCTAAGATGCAAGGAATGAAGGCCCTCTCTTTGGGTGATTAGCCTTTGCTTATGCAAAGAGGAATCTACAAAGGTATTGATTTCTCAACTCACTTTGTTTTGAGTTGAGTCTTGGTTCACCTATCTACTAGGCTTTGAATTTCATGGGTAAATGTTTTGTTTTAAGTGCATACAAGCATGATTCCGCCTTTAATTGTTAATTGCATGCTATTGATGTTGCTTAAATGAACATGTTTTTCACAAATCTTCCTTCAAGTGGTATCAAGAGCCTAAGTCTACTAGTTGGTGAATCCTTTTGGGTTTTGTAGTTCATAGTTTGTGATTTGAATGTTGTAATTGTTACAAGCTTTATTCTTGCTTCTTTGAATGTAAATTTTGTTAGAAAATTTGCCATCTCAAATGTTGTAGATGTAGTTCATATGAGCATGAATTTTGGAGCTAAAATTTGGTGCCATGTTTTTGGGGAAATTCGGCCAAATCCAAAGGGTGGTTTTTTGGGTTCTAGTTTGACTTGTTAAAAGTGTTTTAAAGTGACTTTTGGAACCCCTATGTACCCTAGTATGGTTGTATGTTATTTCCCTTAAGTTTGAGTGGTTTTGGTATGTTTTTGGATGAAGAATGTTCATGGAGCTCTTATGGGTTTTCATGAATGTTCTTCATTGTTCTTGATATGTTCTTGCCAAGAACAAAAGGTTTGGTGTTTTGATTCAAAGTTTTGATTTATTTCATAAAGTTTTTGTTTTGAAATATTTCTTATGTTTAAATATATTAGATATTTATTTTGAAAAATTAAAGAAATTTTAGTGGGTTGGTGTGTAATGATTTATTCCATTTCACACACCCCACTTACAAAACTTTGAAATTTTTTTTATACTTTGTTTCAAATGGCCGGCCACCCTACTCAATTAGGGTCTTTGTGGGGCTTTCATGCAATTACATAAAGTTTTGATACTTTTGTGTATTTGTACTTTGACCCAAAAGTTTACGTTTTTACGTAAAGGTCCAAAATCACTAAAAGGACAAATTGTTTTGCTCCTTTAACGAAGTTTTAGCTTTTGTGGAAATTTTTTGGGTTCTAGTTGTAATTACATGAAGTAGTGGACTTTTGTGTTTTTTACAAAGTGACCCCAAAAGTTTAAGTTTTGCAAAATGGCCCAAAAGTTGAGGTCATAGCATTTTGGCCCAAATTAGGTAGAGAACAAAATTGTTTTGTCTCTTTAAATGAGAATTGGTTTTTCATTTCATTTAGCTCCATTTAAATCAATTCTATGGATACAAAAACCAAATGAAAATGTTGCATTCAAGTTTAATTAGTTAAAGCGTTAATTAATTAAAGAAAGGGTGATTATGAACCTAAGCCTACTATAATTGAGCTATGTGAAAGACCGTTTCAAATTTGTTTGAACCATGGGAATGTGTAGATTAAATTTTGGTTGTAATTTGATATGATCAATTGTTGTAAAAGAGCATAAGCTCTTCTTTACTTTAAAGTAATTTGATTTGATCAATTGTTGTAAAAGAGCATAAGCTCTTATTTACTTTGAAGTACTCCTTTCTTGTTTTATTCGATATGCATGAAAGGAGTAGTTGGGTCCAACGCCCAATAAGACAACACGCCTTAATGTGATTAAACGCGTAACTAAAATCAATCACCATCCCTAGACCGAGATTCAACACTAGGCTCGTGTTGAATCGAATCAAAGGTTCATAGTCATCCTAAGGCCCTA